TGTACTCGTTCTCTTGTACTGAATGGTGAATTTTTTCATATGAGGTGTTGTGCATATATATTAAATCTTATTGTGAAGGATGGGTTGGACATTATTAGTGGTAGTGTTAAGAAAACTCGTGATAGTGTTGCTTATTGGACAGCCAAGCTAAAGAGGTCTGAAAATTTGAGCTCTTTGCACGTCAATTGAAAATTGATTGTGAGAAAAAATTGGTGCTTGATTGTAAAACAAGGTGGAATTCGACATATTTGATGCTTAATACTGCTTTGATTTATAAGGATGTTTTTCCGTGTTTGAAACTGGGGGAGTCACGATATTAATGTTTCCCTAGTAATGGTGATTGGGATTTAGTAAAAGAAATATGTGAGAAGTTAAAGGTTTTTTATGAGGTTATTGAATTGTTTTCAGGAACAAAGTATCCAACTGCTAATCTCTTCTTTGCAAATGTTTATGATATCAAATTGTCATTATATGAGTGGCTTGAATCTCCTTATGTGGAAGTTCAAATGATGGCAACCAATATGATGGAAAAGTTTAATAAGTATTGGAGCGATATTCATGGAGTTTTGGCTTTAGCAGCAGTGTTGGATCCGAGGTATAAGATGATGTTAGTTAAGTTTTATTATCCTCGTATTTTTAATCACAATGCTGCAAGTGAGATTGATAAAATATATCAAGTTTGTAGCAAATTAGTGCACGATTATCAGAAAAAGAATGATTCAAGTGGGTCTTTAGCTCAATTTTCTACTTCTTCTTGTCAAACCGAGACATCAAGTGCTAATAATAAATCAGATCGCATAGTGAATTTTTATAAATTTGTTTCTAATGTTGAAGCTCCTAGTAGTGTGAAAATCGAGCTTGATACTTTTTTGAATGAGCCTATATTGTCTCGGTTGGATGATTTTGATATATTGACATGGTGGAAAGTGAATTCAATCAAATATCCGACTTTATCTCGAATTGCAAAAGATATTTTGGTCATCCCGGTATCTACTGTGGTATCCGAATCTGCTTTCAGTATTAGTGGTAGATTTGTTAGTCCACACAGAAATAGACTTCACCCCAAAATTTTGGAGGCTTTAATGTGTGCTTAAGATTGGTTATATGCCGATATTCACGATACGATGTATAGAAACATTTGCTTTTTATACTGTTTCTTTTATGAATTTTCTTATTACTAATTATTTTATTTTATTAATAGTGAATTCTGCGCCATCTGCATATTTTGGAAGTTGCTCCAAGATGAATGATGAAAATGTTGATGAGGAAGTACTTTTATTTATTATATAATTTAAATTTTATTCATCGTTATTATGAATTTATGATGATATTGAGTATAATATTTCTTTCGTTTTTCAGGATCCATCTTATACAATCTCTGAACCTGCCGATAAATGAAGTTATAAAGATGGAAAAATAACTAATTTATTTTTGGATAAAGAAGTGAAATTTAGTTACAATGTAATTGTATTTGTAATTGTTTATTTTCAGATATTGTTTATTTAAAGTACTTAATTTGGATATTAGCGTTTTTAAATTGTGAATTTGGGGAAGGAAAAAAAAAAGATGGGGCAGTAAACGGGGCATGACTCTGCCCCGCCACGCGCCCCGGGGTATGTTTGGGGTGGGTCGTCCCCCCCCCCGAACCTGCCCCACTACCATCCCTATTGATGGGTATATTTTTCCATGAAATTCAAGTTCTTTCTTTTCTTGAAATTTGAAATTTTCTTGGTTTTTAGGGATATGTAGGAATTGGTTTTCATATATATATTCATTTTATTTTTTTGGGGTTGGCAAAGTTAACAAATTTTCAGAATTATTGTAAAAAAATATTTCCTTTTAATTGACAATTTTTATATAAAACAAAGTTAAACAAATATCAAAAGATAGATGATTTTCTTGAATTTTTTTGAGGCAATGGAAGCAAGTTTCATCCCAATATTAGTAAAATCTATCCATTTAATTGACAATTTTCATGTCAAAGAGAGTCAAACGAATATCAAAAATCACTTTTATTTCAATATTTTCCACGTGAAAAATTATACTAATCAAACACAATAATTTACAATTTTCAGGAAAACAATTTTTAGCCAATTCAATTCCATGAAATTCGTTTTCAACTCAATTCAATTCCATCTTTACAATTAAACGGACCCTAAATCTATATAAACTATACACTCAGATTCCATACTGTCGATCTTGAATCCAAGTCTCATACATTGCAATAGAAACCATGACAGACGTCGTGCTATGAGTTCTACGTCCTTGTGAATCACTTCCTTGTAAACCCCAAACGCTTGACATTTGCCAGTATCCAAATTTCAAAGGAACACGATCAACTGACTCTTTGCCTTGCTTCCCTCTCAGCATTCCATTTCGAATCCAGCATATCAAGTTCCATGAATGCCTCGTGAACGTAGTTGAGAACACATTTGAAAGCCTCTACTCTTTATAACGATCTCATAAATTGAAAGTTTGGTTCTTTTTTCTCCATTACAGCGATGCCCCTATACGAATTCATTGAATAGTCAATTGGAAAAACTCAGTCCCTCGCCATCTTAACAAATGTATCCCTGCCAACGATGCAATTCATCAACAATTTACACGATATAGATACAATCCCTCTACGTAGGCTGTCATCAGTTTCCAGTTGGGCCTGATCGCATTTTATAATTATAATTCTTCTAGTATGCTTTCTATCTGAATTTGCAAAAAGTTCTCTTAGATAATCGAGTTTACAAGTACCTACCATGGGTGAACACTTATAAAAAGAAAAATTGCCCGCCCAAGGGACGACAACAGTTTCCTATTAAAGATTGGCCACGTGTCGTCACGTGCGGACACCAAATTTTGACATGATTCACTAACACAATCCTAATCATAACAATTATTTCAATATTCTTTGAAGGTTGATATTAAGCTGTCACTTGTTCCCTTTATTCAACAATCAACTACACAAGTGCTTCATATCAATTTAAGTGATGACTAATTCATGTCATTTTCAATGCGTAGAATAATTAACTCTTTATTATAGCTTTCTTTCCCATAATAATAAAGCTATTTAATCTCACTAGAAAAGAGAATACTCATTGAATAATATGGCAATGAGCTACTATCACATTAACTTGTGCTAAGAATCAATGACGCCACGGGCGGGGATGTTGGAAATTTTGTCTCAAAATTAAAAATATAAAAAATGTGTTTCATGAGAGAGATTGACAGCATTGAATAATCTATAATATATTAAAGAATAATGTTATTTGCAGTCGCTTACTACAGCAGTCATCATACGTGGCATACACATGGTAGATAGTTATTTGATGTATTAATGAATAAAAAAAATTACCACATTAATGTATTAAATAATCACCTATCATGTATATGCCACGTAGGGCGACTGCTGTAGTGAGCGACTACAAATAGTATTACTCTATATTAAAATATCACATTAAGGAAGAATCATTTTTTGGACAATTTTAACCCCCTACAATTCAATTATTTTAATAACACCTTACTTTTCATTTTTCGATATGTAATAAATACTGTATAATTATTGTCATATATGAAATTTGTGTTATTAATTTTTAATTAATTAACATTCACAATAACCTAGAGTCAATAATTTTTTATGTATCAAATGTAATATAAAAAAAAATTGCTCATTTATAGTATTTTATCATTACAAAAAATTTGAATTATAGAAATTAAGTTTTGAGAGTATAATTTGAGTACAATTTTCTTCTCTTAAATTCATATGCTAAATTTTATTTTCTTTAATTTGTCCAAGACTCATCAAATCCTCTAATAAAGTGGTACCAAATATTATGTTTACATTACTTATAAAATATTTTAAAATAAGAAAATGTTATGTGTACACAATAATGTACACATAATATTACACCCCTAACATGGAGGGGGGTCTACATACAATAAAATATTCGTGGGTCCCCTCCATATGAGAGAGTTGTAATGCATTGTGTACATCATGAGAAGTACACATAACATTTATTTTATTGCACGTTCAATTTTAATTAGTATTAAAAAATGTGTTTAATGAGAAAGATTGAACCGTATAAATAATATTAAAAAAATAATAAGGAGAAATTAAAACTTTGTACGTTATTCCTTAAATGTTCAGTACCAAATACGCATTAAAGAACCACGTAAGACAACAAAGTCAAATATATACAAGAAAGAATAATTATTAATGCCGCTTATAAATATGCGTGCAACATAATCGGATATCACCTTCTTCGAAAAAGAACCTTGCCCAACTCCACTCACCCTTCAAATGTCTATGCCACCGTTCGATCTGACATCAGATTCTTCTATCGCGGTATCTCTACACACATCAACGGTCCATATAAAACCTTGAAATCCAATATTTGTACATTGTATCCAAGTTGCCACCAGAAGATACAACCACTCCATGAACTCGCTACACCTCATTGATTTCTGTCTTTGTCACTGCAACGGACGTCACACCGCTCTATTTACCAAAAAAAAATGCGACTAATTTGAGTTAACGGTCCACAGAAATATGTTATATTTGTAGAATAGTGACNAACCGCATCATGAACTCGCTGCACCGCAATTTATTTGTCTGTCTTTTCCACTGCAACTTGCGTCACACCACTCCGTTAACTTTTAAAAATGCGATTAAATTAAGGTAACAGTTCTCAGACATATGATAAATTTGTAGAGCACTGAACAGAATTGAAGAAAAAGAGACACAGAAACTGTATTTATCTTTTTCTATACCGACTGCGAAAAAGGGGGGTCAACCCATAAAGATTTGTAGGGTTTTGATGAGGAGTTTGTCGATGAATGCGGTGGCCATAGCTGGGATTTTAACTAGGGCCTTTTATATGGATTCTCAGGATATTGAATTTGGTAATCCATGGTGGTTTGTTTATGCCGGAATTTCGTGTTTCCTCGTAATCTTCGCCGGAATAATGTCGGGGCTGACGTTGGGGTTGATGTCCCTCGGACTTGTCGAACTCGAAATCCTCAAGAGAAGTGGCACCTCCACTGAAAAAAAACAGGCAGGTACAGTACGAAAATTTTCCCTTTTTTATTTTTTGGTGAATTGTTTTGATTAATTACTTCGCGTTGTGAATTTTGGTTTGGGGAAAGATTGAATTTTGTTGATGTGAAATTTGGTTTTTTTTTTTTTTTTTTTTTTTTTTTTTTTTTTTTGTGCAGCAATTATTTTGCCGGTTGTTCAAAAGCAGCACCAACTTCTTGTGACTCTGCTGTTGTGCAATGCCGCTGCAATGGAGGTCAGATGTTTTTCTTATTTAGTTATTTAATTTTTTTTGCAAATTATTAATTATATGATAAGTATTTTGAAAGTGTTGATAAAGTTGAGTTCAAGTTTCAAGTTCTGGGATTTCCAAATACGAAAAAAACTAGTTAAAATATTTTATGTTATCCTTCTATCCAGCAGTATGTAATATGGCCTACTTATATCGTGATATTCGAATAACTCGGACATAATTTGAAAATTTTATTAAATTGATGACAACGCTCTCTGCAGGCTCTTCCAATATATCTAGATAAACTGTTTCACCCTATTGTTGCTGTCATCCTCTCAGTAACTTTTGTTCTTGCTTTCGGTGAGGTACAGTTTTCCAATATGATTTACCATATGTAATTGCCAGGTTAAACTGCAATTGACTTCTTGTTTAATTGTGGCAAATAGATTATTCCACAAGCAATATGCTCTAAGTACGGGCTTACTGTTGGTGCAAATTTCGTGTGGCTTGTGCGAATCTTGATGATAATTTGCTGTCCTATTGCTTACCCTATTGGAAAAGTAAGTTTTACATAGAAAGTGATTTTTCCCCCTCTTTTTACTGTCAATTGTGAAGTATAGGATGCTCGGTTGTTTAGTCCAGCGCAACAATGTTTCGCAGAAGATTACTTTTTCAATTTCAAAATAAGATTCGCAGAAGATTACTTTTTCAAATGCATGAAGTCTTAATTATATTGTACACTTATCCCTCTGCCATAGATCGACCTAGTTTCTCAAATAGGAGTCTAAAGGAGGCGGTATGTGAGAAGACAGGTGCGAGGAAAAGTTATTAATTGAGCATGTTTGATAAAATTGAAATCATAATTTAAGCTGGTCAAACATACTTTTGTACAACCTACAACTTATACCCATATATTATATCCAATTATGTGTGACTTATAGCCTATAAGCACTTAAAAGCACTAATGAACGAACACATGATGAAAAGAAATAGCTCTCACATTTAGGGTGAACCACTGTAAATATTTGTATTTTGTGTGTGCGTGTGTGTGTGTGTTTGTGTTTTTCAATATTTTCCTATCTTTCATCATTGCTATCAGGATAGGGTTCGGGGTTGAATCTGCTGCATTACTAAGCCTGATATATTCATGTGGTTCAGATTCTAGATGTCATCTTGGGGCACAATGATGCTTTGTTTAGGCGACCTCAGTTGAAAGCACTTGTTTCTATCCACAGCCAGGAGGTATTCCCCCGAAGTTGAAAGTGAATATATATTAACACATGCATGGTTTATGATTATAGAGAGCATGTATCGACAAGTAAAATATCTATTCAGTGGTTCATTTGTTTTGATATATAATGCAATTTATTGCTTTAACGTACATCATAGGCTGGGAAAGGAGGTGAACTCACTCATGATGAGACTACTATCATAAGTGGAGCATTAGATTTGACTGAAAAGGTAAGTTGGTTTGCGGAGGTATCACGTGGTGTAGTTTCTTTGCTTCATAACATACTCTAGCAATTCGACCCGTGTATTAATGGCACTATGTACCCTTGGTACTATGTACCCTTGGTAAGGAAGTTAAATGGAAATTCTTGCTTTCATTATCTTCCCTCAAGTAAATTGATTTCAAAATCAATAATAGAATAATTCTATTCTGCTTTACCTATAAATTGTTTTCCCTGGTATCTTTGTGCAATAAAGTGCGAACAGAATAAAAATGATCAAAATATGTGCAGACTGCGGAGGAGGCTATGACGCCTATTGAATCAACTTTCTCGCTAGATGTCAATTCAAAATTGGACTGGTGAGTTTGATGCTGAATTATTTTCCATGTTTCTTAAGTTATATTTATGATGTGAGAATTACTGTTGAGAAGCCATTATTTCATTTTCTGCCTTAGGTCAGCTTACCTTTTCTCGTACATTAGAAGAAATTAAAATTATGCGGAGATATATAAAAATTGTTTTTTCTAATGCAAGTCCTACATTGCAGGGAAGCAATTGGGAAAATCCTTGCTCGAGGACATAGTCGTATTCCTGTGTATTCTGGAAATCCAAAGAACGTTATTGGACTTCTATTGGTCTGTGTATAACTCCAGAAATTATTGAACTTCTTCCATTTATCTGATTTTAGTAACTGATTAATTTATTGTTCTGTAATATCTTTTGCTTCTTTGGAAATAGGTAAAGAGTCTTCTTACTGTAAGGGCAGAAACTGAGACCCCGGTTAGTGCTGTTTCAATACGAAAAATCCCTAGGTTGGTTTGTCAATTTAAAAATGTTCTCTTTTTATTCCTTTCCTTTTTCTTTTATCCCATCATATTTTTGTTCTTTTTATTTAGGGTACCGGCAAATATGCCTTTGTATGATATTCTCAATGAGTTTCAGAAAGGAAGCAGTCACATGGCAGCCGTCGTAAAAGTGCGAGAGAAAGAAAAAAGCCATAGTTCTTTTGTTGATGCCGCAAAGAGTGGAGAAAACAATTTTACCAACTGCCATTCGCAATTGACTATTCCATTGCTGAACAAGCATGGTGGTAAATTAAATAGTGTCGTGATCAACATTGAGAAGGCTTCAAAAGATGCCTCGCATGACAAGGATCCATCGAAGGATATTGAAGATGAAGTCATTGGCATTATCACTTTGGAAGATGTATTCGAAGAACTTCTTCAAGTAACCTCTCATGGTTCACCTTATTCATGTTTTCAATTACAACTGATTGATATTGTATTTAGTTGGGCCCATAAATTCTCTGTTGTAACCTGCTTAGAACATGTTTGGCTTAGCTTGTGAATACGTAGAAGTTATTTTACTTTTAAATGTGATTGGATAGTTATTTTTTCCTACTGCTAATTAAGGGAAAAAAAAAAAAAAAAAAAAAAGAATTGCTTATTTAAAAGTAACCCTTACCTTTCTGTTAAAATAAAAAGTAACTTGTTTTCAAATAAATTTACTAATTTAGTTATAAACAAACTCTTTAAGCTTTAACCAAACATGCTGTTAATACCCTCTGCTAATCTGAGAACGTTCAGTCTTCCACCTTTCCCATTTCAAGCTTTGACCAATTGTTGTCCGTGGATGCAGGAGGAAATTGTTGATGAGACAGATGTATATGTCGATGTGCATAAAAGGTGTTAAGAGCGAGCACTTTCCTAAATATATTTGCACCTGCTCTCCCTGATTCTTTTATTATTATTACAAGCTTATTCGATGGTGTGTGGCATTGTGATTATTGTAGAATACGTGTGGCTGCTACTGCTGCTGCTTCATCTGTTGCTCGAGCACCTTCGAACCGTAGACTGACTGGTCAAAAGCCATCATCAGTAAGTTTTTCAACATTTATTCTACAGCCTTCGACTTCCAGTGTCTAATGTTATCCACGGACAATCCAAAAGGATAGCATGTATCTGCTTGCTTGATGAGAAATCTACACATTAAAGAATGGGTTCTGAGAGAAATGACCTTTCCTATGATCAAGGTTACATTGTTCTTTTTAAGTTAATTACGAGAAAAAACTTGCTTAATTTTTAGTGAATTATGATTATCGATGACTTAATATTTCAGAAGATTTTCTGAAATACGATAGGACCATTTTAAGCCTGCTTATATATCAACTTTCATCATAGTAAAACATCCAGTAAATCAAAAGCTTTTTACGGTAGTCTTATAGTTGACCATGAGGTTATCAAAACAGAGTTCATGGCCCTTCAGAGAAATATCTGGTTATAGATTACTGGACTTTACTTGGATATGAGATATTTTCGTATATTGTGAATCATTCAACTGTGGATTCCTTTCTTAATTTGGATGTGAAATGATCTACTGTTAGTTAATCTAACGAATGCAATGGACCTTTCTACAAACCTTTGAAATAGTAACAGTGCATCATGACAGAGAGACAGGATTTTAGGTGTGCTCAGTTTGTTCATATCTAGGTTTAGAAATATGGGGAAAGGAATTATTCTCTAGTTGCGATTTACTTGCAGTTCGAGAATTCTAATGAAAAGGATGCTATAAACATCGCAGGATTTACTCGTGTCTTATCTTGCATGCATTTTTGGAATTTTTACAGGGAAGCCAAAAAAGCAGGGACCAATACCAAAGAAGTTCGATTTAATGTCCACAAAGTCGTAAGACAATTGGGATAAACATGTTTTAGCTACGTAGATGGTTTTGTGAGTCTTGTATAGGCACTATAATATAGATTTCCAATGTATTTACTTTACATTGATGAGCTATCAGCTGTAATTTCTTATCATTGCATGTCTCTCAAGATGTAGCATTAATGTATCCTTGTACTAAGCATAAGCATTCCCTTCGGAGAATGCTTTTTTGCAACCCAATATACCTACACGTATACATACAATTCTAGCTTCTTCTCTCTCTCATGAAAGAAAGTTGTCGGGTGCCAAATAACCAAGCTCCTTTTTCCTCCACTATTTCTATAGGCTTGGTCGGCGTCCCATTGAAGGAAAAAACTTCGGGCAAGCCCTATAACTGTTATAGGTCTATTTCCTGTGGGGTCTCTTACCATTTCCCATTTTCTTTTCCTTAAAAACAGCAAAACTAG